ATCTTTGGCTTCGTCTAAAAATTCCTCTTAAAAATATTGATTTTGTCATTTTCACAAGTTAAAACTACAATATCATATTTATCTTTTGGTGTGGAAATAGTTTTTGATGATTTTTATAACACAAAAAACTTGGAAAAAAAATTAAATCTCCATAGATAAAACTTGATTTTTTTGCATATAGAAACTACGGTATTTTAGACCATAAGGTGTGGGCAACTAGATATAACACCATTTTTGTGCCACATCACATGCCACGTCATCAATGGTGTTATAACACCAAGTGGGGAAATGGGCAACATGTTGTATCTTGTTATGACACCAACTTTTTTTCCATTTTATAATTTATTTTTTATTTATTTCGATTTTTTTTTAAAAATTTAGACAAATATTTTTTAAATATAAATAATAAATAAAACATAATGTTTAAAAATTATAAATAACAATTAAAAAATTTTAAAGATTAAAATTAACATAAAGACTAAATTACACATAATATCCAAAAACAAAAAAAGAAATAACATCCAAATTCAAAAAAAAAAAAAATACAACGCTATTCGTTATCGTTGTTGTTACCATAGAAGATATAATCCGTCAAGTCCTCTCGAAGTTGTCTGTGTTTATTTGCGTCCTGAATGTCAACAACGCGATGCAAATAATATGTTGTTCCTGGTTGAAACTGAACGTGTCTGGGCTCCGTTGGGATATAGTGTGCAATATTTCGCCCTTTATCTTCTACTACCATGTTATGCATTATGATACATGCATACATGATATATCGTAGAGTTTCTAAATCCAATGGTCGTGCTGCATGTTCGACTATATGCCACTTCGCCTTCAGCACTCCAAAAGCACGTTCCACATCCTTACGTGCTCCTTCTTGTCTTCTCTTAAAAAATTTGTCTCGTTCTTCAACCGGGTGGCGGAATGCCTTCACGAATGTGGAATACTGAGGATATATTTCATCTGTAAGGTAATACTCATATTTGTATTCGTTTGCATTTACCGTGAAAGGAGCATCCGGGGCTTTTCCATTCAAAAGATCGTCAAATATTGGCGACTGATCAAGAACGTTGACGTCGTTGTTGGAACCCGCAACCCCAAAAAATGCATGCCAAATCCATAAATCTTGAGAAGCGACAGCCTCTAACACCAACGAAGGTGATCCGTGATGACCACTTGCGTATTGCCCTTTCCATGCTACCGGACAATTTTTCCATTTCCAGTGTGTGCAATCAATGCTTCCGATCATTCGGGGAAACCCATGGCGTTCTTCATGCGCCGCATACAATTCTTGCAAATCATGCAACGAAGGTTTTCGCAAATACACGTCTCCAAAAGTTTCAACAACACCCCTTGACAATGTATACAAACTCTCTCTTGCGGTTCTTTCGGACATTCTCATATAGTCGTCCATGGTGTCGGGTGATTCCCCCATAGCCATCAAACGAATGGCCACATCACATTTCTGCAACGTTGTAAACCCTCGTCTACCTCTAGCATCATATCTTAATTGAAAAAATTCGTACCTAAACATAAATTAACTACAGTTTAAAAATATATTGCATATGTTGTAAAATTAAAGAAACATGTAGTGCATTTTTATTTATTTTGTATAAAAATATAGTAAACAAACGATACCGGCTTTCCAAGGCGTTGGCGATTCGTAAGAACACATCCCTACTCAAACAAAATCTTCTTTTGAAGTCCTTCGCCCCGTATACACAATTATCCGCAAAGTAATCGCGATATAGATGTTCATGTCCTTCCTCGCGATTTCTGTTTAACATCGCACGTCTTGTTAATAGCGGGGCTGGGTCTGGTTGTAGCAGGTCGGTAGTGTAATAATGATACATCATCCTAAAGAAAATATCGTCATCTGAATCATCGGACGAGTCGAAAGGATCCATATTTTTTTTGAAGATAATTGAAAGTATGTAGAGAGGAGAAGAGAAAGTGTGTGAAATTTTTTATAAAATGGTAGGTATTTATAGGGTAAATTGTTTTTTTTTAATAATTAATTTTTTTTTCAAACCGTTGCAATTAAAAGGTTTCAAACGGTAACAATTCATTCGTTTCATCCCGTCGTGACGCCAACGAGATCCACCCTCGAAGAGTTGCAACGAGCAGGGGGGGCGGTGTTCCCCCCGTTAAGCCGCCGTCGCCAAGCGCCACGTAAACGGCGTTACATCTCGTTTGACCCATACCGATTGCTCTTAGAAAACAATGTCGTTGTAGCTGACACATCACCATTTTTCAGATGACGACATCATTTCCGAAATGGTTTGTCAATTTTGTAAATATTATCTATGAAATTGATGGCTATTTTGATGAATTGACTAATTTCATTAATTATTTTTTTTAAAAAATAATTAATGAAATTACTCACATTTTTTTCTAGATTAAAGGTAACCAATATAATTATATAAATACAAACTTGTTTTGTGTATTATGCCAAAAATATCCTATTTTTCGTACCTAACAAAATAAATATTTTATTTATATAAATTTCTTTTTTCATGTAGGTACACCTCACATCAATATCTGTTTACTCTTTAGGTATATCCCGGATAATCAATACGTGGAAAATCGTGTTGCCAATAATGTATTGGCCCACATTCAGTCAATCGATTCAAGATAAGGAAATTATTGTACATTTTTAAGCCCAATTTCATGTGAATAATAATGTTTCGAAAACGAAAATGTTAATAGTTAATCCGATAAATATATCATATAGGTACAAGTGGTTTTCGGCTATTAATTGGATATCATTGTTAAAAAAATTGTTCAAACATATCCTTGTGTCTATCATATTGAAAGTAACATGATGCATATAGAAATGATAATCTTATAAAATAATCAAGTTTCTTTTTTTCTTAAACTTTAATAATGTTATTAAAAGCATCCATAATAATAGATTTTTTCTTTTAGTTTTAAATGAAAAAGCTTCATCTATCATCTACGATAAAAGGCTTCCGATTTTTTATGTTTAGTTTGTATAATTGAAAAGTTACGGGACTCGTCGAATCCGTGGAAGAGGTCAAAAGAAGAACTTATTAAAATGAGAAAATCAAAATATCTTTCTTATTTTTTCTTTATATTTTATAATACTTGTCACATATAATAAAAGTAATAAATTTTTATTATATTTGTTATCATGTAAAAATGATAAAAGGATGAATAATAAAATATAAGGATATTTAATTTTTCTATTAAAATCCAGAGTTCATCCTTCCTAATCTATTTGTCACTTCGATGTTAAATCAGTTTTTCTGGATTCTTTTATTTCTACCTCTCTCATCTCACATTACATGGAAATTTATCCATTCCAAATTCCTTATCCACATATTTCACTATAAGTTTTATCGGTTATAGTACAAGTTGAAAGAATATAGAGCAACGGATTATGTAACCGCTATTCTACCAATTTGGCGGTAGTACATTTGCACGGAGCGGTGTGGTCGGCAACACCACAGAAGCCGGTGCATTTTTTGTTCAACTTCGTTCATCCTTACTTAACTTAACAAGATTGTTGAAAAAATTTATATTGATGTAAAAAAACTCATCTAATAGATTTTTCAATTGTCAAAAGTTTTTTCAAACTCTTATTGTAGATGTTATTATATGTATTACTTTGCTTGAAAAAGAAAGTTACTTAACATGTAAAATAATTTAATGTGATATCATAAATATAAAAGAACTCACCATTGTGATGGAATTCACATTCGATCCACAACAGCTAACAAAATACGGTGTTAAATTTCAAACTTTGAGATTTTAATTTCCTACAAACAAAAATCACCATATATATATATATATATATATATATATATATATATATAATATATATATATATAGGGTTAGGTTATTTTGTTTCTAGTAACTATTGTGTGCCATAATGCACAGTTCTAGACCACAGATGGAATAGAATCAATGATCATGATCTGAGAGTCTATAATATTACAATAGCGTAACATGTACCATATAATCACACAAATTTCAGCATAAGGGTATTTTGGACAATTAACTATATTTAAAAAAGGAAATTTTCGGAATTTTAGGGATAATTAATTCTCATAATTTTAAGAATCTGATTTTTTTTAATTAATTCACTTTAATTCTAAACATAATTTGTAAACATAACCGGTTTTATTCCGTCATAATGTTTTTTTGTTAGAATAATTTTCTTTCAAAGTTTTATTCTATTAGAATATTAATGAAGAATAACATAATTCTAAAACTACCTGTTGAAGAATAACAACATTTTTATATTTTCATATACATTCGAACTTAAATACAAATTCATACATATTCTTACATATTAATAACCTTATACATTTTAATATATTTGTACATATTCTAAAAGAATATCACAAACAATCAGCATTCTTAAATATACAATTCATTAATAACTACAAGTATAATTCTTAAAAAATAAGAAGGTTTTTAAACTGTAAGTGTGATCAAACTTTGAGTCATTCTTCAAGTCATTCTTATCAGGTCTTCAAGCACTTCTTCTGACCATTCCTATCACAGATGCAACAAAAACTAAGAATGGTTAAAAGCATGTTACTTGCAATTCCTATCAATTTACACATTCTGACAGAATACATAGAATACATTCTGGCAGAATACATATAATACATTCTGGTAGAATAATTAGAATACAATCTTGCATAATACATAGAATACATTCTCTCAGAATACATAGAATAAACTCTGGTAGTTATAACTTTACATGCCACTATAAAGAATTAATCATGTGATTTACCATTTGCAATCGTATTTCTATATATATAAACATTCTAAACCACAGAATGTATAAATGCATTCTGTCAGAATTACTAGTAACACATGTTTTATGTAATATTTATATTCTCATAAAGAATTAACAGGTGTTTGCATTCGGATATGAAAAAAAAAATCACTGCTTAACCCTTTTGATACAACCAACCCCTTAAATTGCAGGTGTGAAATTCATAACAACATTAGGACAATGACACTTACGCACTAAGAGCTCCACCTCCCTTTGCATGACCATCCATTTTAGTAACAATTACAGCTCCAACTACAACACTTTGCTTAAAAGCTTGAGCTTCGTCAAATGCAACTTGACCAATACTACTATCCATCACAAAGATAACAAGATCCGGTTTCTGCATGATTAAACAACATATAACAAAAAATTGAAAACTTTAAAAAACAATCCAACAAAAAAGAACTCGAGGGTATACCGTTGCTTCAGAAACTTGGCGCATTTCTTCAAAGAGGGCTACTTCTTGTTTATGTCGACCACTTGTATCAACAATAATAAGATCACAATTTTCCTTCTTGAACCTCTCGACGCCTTCTACAGCAATTTTCACAGGGTCTGACTCCATATAACTGTAATCAAAAGATGAGGGTTACTACGTTTCATAAACCTAAAAGTTTGCATATCATATGGTGATTTCTTGATTTAATTATTTCTCGAGTCTTCAACAGATAAATAAACAACCTTCCATAAAATGGAATCTTAGCTTTTGTTGCATTCTGCTTCAGTTGATCAAAGGCACTGGCTCTGAATGTATCTGCACATACCAAAGCTGGTTTCCAGCCCTTCTTTTGGTGGTAATAGGCATATTTTGTAGATGTAGTAGTTTTTCCAGACCCTGAGTCATTCACATTCAGTAGCACATGTCATCAAGGATCCAAATACATAAAATACTACAAATAAATGTATGATGACAATTTATAGTTTACAAACAACAAAAGTTACATGAACAGAATACCTTGTAAACCCACAAACATGACAACACTTGATTTGCTTTTCTTGGGTGTGAAAGATGGCTTCCCAGGATCTAACATCTTGCAGAGCTCGGTAAATATAGCCTAGAAGAAATAGATAAATCATTGTTAAACAGTATCATGAGTGTCTACATCATAAGCAAACACTCAACACTAGAAAAATATAGAAAATAGATGTCTCTTCCATTATGTAAACAACTATTATCAACTAGAATGTTTGTAGTTTGGAATTGAAATTCAATCTGAATCGATTTTATACATTTTGCTGAAGTACAGTTTCAATCACTGGAACCAGACTTCTTGAATCGCACCCTGTTTGTAATTTGTTCCACTATATTCAAATTTCATTGCCTTATTTTCCTATTTCAAATTTCTTGTAGCAGGCACATATAATCCAATCAATGAGTAGCAATACAAATTAACTAATTCAATATATGCTTAGATTACACCGGATCAACAAATATGAGGGAAAAAACTACTACTACAACAATAATATGCACCTGCTGGATGATTCTCCACTTGTTATGACTTGCAGCGAGATCATCGAGATTGACGATCTTCGAACGAGCTTGAACTGAACATCGGATTGAAGAAGAGCGCGTGTGATCTCGTTTAAACAATCATTAAGGACCTTCTCGTCGATGATCGTGGCATTGCTCATCTGCTGGAGAGCATGTGAAATGCTCCCCTAACTCCGCCAACACCATCTTCGATTATTTGCGTGACACGATGAACAACGATCTGTTCATAGGGAAATTGGAACCAAAATCGAACACTGGTTCTTAATTGACCAAAATTGGGATAGTGGTTACGGTTTCAGATTTAGGGTTTGGATGTTGGAAGGGGAAAAACAACGGACTCGCCGGTAGTGTGATCTGTTGGTACATATTTGTATACGGTGGAGGTGGCTATCACGTGGTTGTACATTTCGACTATGGTGGGTGAAGAAGATAATCGTATTGGAGTTTGATGAATACTCTGATATAGAATTAGGGTTATGAAGATGAAGGAACCATGATTTAAGGGATCAAATACGTGATATTCTATTATTTCCTTAATTATAGAATTCCAATTAAATTATTTCCTTTAATTAAAAGCACAAAAAGTCCAAAATACCCTTTAATGATTTATTTAATTATTTATTATTTCTTGAATTCTCATTGGTGCATTTAGGCACACAATAGTTGCTAGAAACATTTGAACCTAGCTCTCTCTCTCTCTCTCTATATATATATATATATATATATATATATATATATATATATATATATATATATATATAGAGAGAGAGAGAGAGAGAGAGAGAGACTGTGTGTTATGTTCAATCGAGAACATTCCTTATTCCGAAAACATTTGAGAACAAATCTGGACAGCTAATTTTCAAATGGTAAAAAATTTACAATTTTAATTATAAAAATATTTTAATTTTTACTAAAAAAACAATTATATCCTTATAATCACTCTCACTCACTCTCTCTCTCTCTCTCTCTTAGTTTGAAGATATATACAGACCACCATCAGCCGCCGTTGAAAGCACCATAATGTTGTCGGAACCATCGTGATGTTGCCGGAACCACCGTCGTTGATTATATGTGTTTAGATACATATAATCACAAGTTATTAGATATATTTAATCAAATATGATTAAAGCTAATAAAAACAATTATTGAATCGAGAACGCGATAATGAATCTTGTCCACATAAATCATATGTGATTCAATAGTTGTTCTTGTGTATTTAAATACATATAATCACATGTGATTATATGTATCTAATGACATATGATTTATATGGAAAATATTCAATTTTCCGTATTCGATTCAATAGTTTTTCCGAAAATATTCAATTTTCCGTCAATCTTGTCTATACAAATCATATGTGATTAGATACATATAATTATATGTGATTATATATGTAACGCCCAGATCCCTGGTATGCATTATTTATTTATTTACTCATTTTACAAGGCAACTCGACGAGCTGGTAGCCCCAAACTCCTCGAGTAGAGATCGAGAAGGACGTGGGTTTTGACGTCTACTCGCCGAGTTGGGAAGCCCCGACTCGACGAGTAGGACTGCCTGAAGGAAACCCTAATTTTAAGGGTTTGGCCCCCTATTTAAGGAACATAACACCCCTTGTGGCCTCCCTCATCGTCCTCCATTGTCCAAAAAACCCTAATCAATGAGGTTGAGCCTTGTGTGAGTGTGTGAGCCATTTTTTAGTGTTTTAGTGTGATTTAAAGCTTGTGAGAAGAAGAAGAAGCTAAAGGACTCCAAGAGAAGGTTGTAGATCCAGAAGCAACATCACTTTTCCTTCACTTTCTTGTAATCAAGTCTATACCTTGACCATTTGTTTTCTAGATCTTCTTGTGGGGTAGTTTAGGGCTTTTTGGAGTGCATTTTGGAACCATTCATGGATGCAAACGTGATTTGGTGTATCAAATGCAGATCTAGAGTCTTTGAGGGACTCCATGGCATAAAGGTGCCAACTTTATGGCCATGGGAGTCCCATGCACCTTATGAGACACCTTTTTGGACCTTGTGAGCTAAAAACCCCATGTATGCACGTAAAGTTGGAAACTTTACGTGACATAAGGACCTTGGGGGTCCAGATCTATGTTTTGGAGGCAATGAACCCAACTGAAATCGACTGAATAGATTAAGATCATGGGGGACTCGACGAGTTGTTCATGCAACTCGGCGATTCGGGTCGTTGTTCCCCAACTCTTCTGTTAATGAGGGAACTCGCTGAGTCTAGAAGATGACTCAGTGAGCTGGACATAGTTTTGGCTTTAAGGGTTTAGGAACTCGATGAGTCCAAGGAGGGACTCGACGAGTTTGTTAAGGGACTCGCCGAGTTGACTCGGTTGACCACGAGTCTGAGTAGTACAGGAACTCGCCGAGTTGGGAGATAACTCGACGATTTGGGTTGACTGGGAGTCGACCTTGACTTTGACCTTGACCAAAGTGTTGACTTTGTCCAGGGGTAAAATGGACATTTTACCCTATAAAGGATTATTTGATTTTGATTAAGTATTATTATGAAATTGATAGTCAGGGAGTCGCCGGAGCAGCAGTTAGAGATTCTTCACTCGAGTTTTTAGCAGTCAGCCTTACGAGGTGAGTTTCCTTCAGTAGGAACGGGTCTACGGCATCAAGGTCGGCCCGTACATGTGATATGATAGTAGCTGAGTGTGGGCGGGGCCCGAATCTTATAGCAGTCGAGTGTGGGCAGGGCCCGAATCTCGTAGTATTATTTAAGTATAGTTATGTGACTGTTTGATAGGAGTAGATATACTTGTTGTCTGTGTGATACTTGTATGTATGTTATACAGTGGAGTGTGGGCAGAGCCCGAATCTCCTAAACAGCGGAGTGTGGACGGGGCCTGAATCTCCTAGACAGCAGAGTGTGGGCGGGGCCCGAATCTCCATGAGAGTGGGCGGGGCCCGTATCTCTTAGTTGCATGTTATGTGTATGGTATGTGGTAGTTTGGGGAGACTCACTAAGCTTCGTGCTTACAATTTTCAGCTTTGGTTTCAGGTACTTCCACTAGCAAGGGGAAGGGCTCGGGATGATCGCATGACACACACCACAGTTTTAGCCTGGGATGTTTAGACTCTGATATTTTTCTCATATGATTTTGACACAGTATTTGACATGATGTTTTGAGATACATGATTCTTGATTTTCTTTATGATGATGGATGATTTATGGTTTTATTATAAGTTTTAAAACGAAATTTTTGGACTGTATTTTTGGGATGTTACAATATACAAGAGAATAACCATTGAATCAAAGTACGAAAACAAATCTTTGTTCACATTAAGCATATGTTATTAAATACATATAATCAGATATGATTAAATACATGAGAAAAAATATTGAATAAAAAACATAAAAATGAATCATGTTTATATAAATCATATGGGATTAGATACATATAATCACATGTGATTTCCATATGGATAGACTATATAGTCTAAAAGATAATGTGACCTTGACTTGATCCCTTTTTGCTATACACAAAATATAATTAAAAAACAAGGTTTGTATACAATATAATTAAGTTTTGACTAAAATAACCATATATATATATATATATATATATATATATATATATATATATATATATATATATTATTTCAATTTGATTTAGCCGTTAAACATGTAATAATGTTAAATTAGACCATGTACTGTTGCTTATTATCCGGTAAAGATTTACAACAATAAAAATGAAAAAAAAATTCACAAGTGATGTTTATGTTTGTTTTTTTAAGAAGAGCTTCTTGATCTCTTTTGGCTGCGTCGTATAGAATGCGCATAAATTTCCTCATACACACTTTTTGTTTTTTACAACACCAATGACCTAAAAAGATATGTGCGTCATTTTCTTGGAGCGGACATGAATTTACGTCTTTTCAAATATGCAAACTGATAAGTCTATTTTATGAATGTACTAAATTGTCATAAATATGTTGAATTGATGCATAATTGTCCAAGAATGGCACTACTTTGATGAAATGTTGAACATTATGTGCAGGCAACTACTTAGTGCTAAAGTAGGCGGAACCCGCAAGAAAAACGAGCAAAAGGAAGCTAACAAGCATGGGAGACGAATTGGTAAAGGAATGAAGAAAAATGGTGCAGAGAAATTTGACCACCCTTCAATGTTTTGATCATATGTCAAGATCTAGAGCTCCGATTGACATGAATGAAGAAGTTCTGGAAACTAGACAAAATTTCCTACAACTTTCATGTTTTGCATTTTTACTGATTCTACCGTTTTAATCACCAAAAAGGGGCAACAAAGATGAGAGACGTCCTAGAACGCGTCTAAGACGCCCCTTAGGACGCCTAGCCGTTTTAGGCCATTTTCAAGTGCAAATCAAGGACGACAGAAGACATGTAGAACGCCACGAAGGACGCCCAGACGTCCTATATGACGTCTAAGACGCCTACTAGGACGCCGACGTGGAAAGAGCTCCGAAAATCAATTTTTCAGCACCTATTTAAAGGAGATTTAACCCTAATCGACTTTGGACTTCTTCCCTGTGATTTTC